GGAGGGGAGGGGGGAGAGGACTTAAATCATTGACTTTAAGAAAATAAAACATTACAAGGTAATGAGTATCATTGGACCAAAGATCTATTGAAACATAATCCTCGTTCAAAGGTACTTCAAATGTAATAAACATGAACTGTAAACTCAGATTTCTTGAATTCGAATACTGATAATTTCTTGAAACCACACCATGAAGAATATATCTCTCATAAATACCTTAGTTGTGACGTGGATAACTAATCTTTGACTAAATTATGAAAGAAATTAATTGAAGTGCACAAAAGCAAACTCAAACTCCCAAACTGTTAAGCCAAAAAAAAATCACATAACCCTCATTCATCCCGCCACATGCACTTGTGTCAACCACTAAAACTTATTACATAATTCAATGAGTCAACATATAAACATGTATCGTCTCAAGTGTACACAACTAACGGCCATGAATATGAAAACCTTAAACGATTTATTATTAGTTTATTATATATTTTTAAAATTGTCAAATAGGACATTTGAGGACGTACACGATAGAATTCAACTCAAAATTAAATGAGCTTATGGCGACAACAATGAGTTTTGTTCGTTAACCCACTTATTATTTTAATGGTAAAATTTTAACTCATAAGGGGAGAAGTTACAACTGTTTAAGGGACCATGATCAATCACAGATATACATGATCGATTATGGACTTTTTTTAAACAGTTATAATTTCTCATTTTTGAATTGTAATTTAACTTTTAAAAATTCTAACTATAATATCAATCACAATCTATTACGATCGACCATGACTTTTAAAAATTATAACTTATATTTTTAAAAAATTATAATTTAATCTTAAATGATAATACATTTCGGTACGGTAGTGAAGTAGGGTACCTAGCATTCCCCTACATTGTATTGTGAATTGTATTTAAATTACATTTGAGTCGTATGTGAAGGCAAATGGAGTGACGTAACTGATTTGAATCTTCCCCCTTAAGCAATCAGAAACGAAGGGTCAAATTGAAAACTCTTATTCAATTTGACTTTTCTGTTTTTTTTTTACGTTCAATATTAGAAAAGTGACCCCCTTGCTTATAGCTAGAAAAAATAGATTTGATTGATTCTAAAAAGATAACAATGATCAAATGCGAATCATTTAGGTCACTCCATTTATTTGAAATTTATTATAAAAAAAATAGATTTGATTGATTGTAGTCGATTCATTTATTTGATAGGTTTAATAGATTTATTCATGTATCATTTGAATCTATAAAGACTAAACTCAAATTGATTAATTCTATGTGGATCGCATCTAAAATGTCATTCTTACTTTAATGCATCCAGTTTCATTGCTATGCTTCAAACTATCAAGCCCGGCAGGTAACACAGATGACAAGGATTTAACGATTATTCTCTCGTAGTACTAAGTTGACATAATTTGGGCGATTGGGTGCTAATGTTATTACGAATGATTGCGTGCATCCAANCATAATTTTATTTAGTATGTGACAATACACAATATAAGTGTTGGGTAGTAGAAAAAGAAGAAAATAAAATTAGGGGCTAACTCAAATTCAATTCTAAAAAAAATGTATTTGAGTAAGAATTTTTAATACTTGGTTAGCCTAGGCAAAAAAACTACAATCCAAATTGAATTCTAACATTGGGTTGTCGGGTTCAACCCGAATATATATAAATATATTTAATTAGAATTAGTATTTATGTTCACTCTTCAGAGTTCAGACTTTTACTTCACTTCAAATCTTCACCCTTGCGCCTACATCACTCTCAAATCCCTCTCTCACTCATCTCTCATATCTGGTCTCAGACTCTCAACCTCATTCTCTCAGCCTCCCTCTCTTAATCGTCTCTCGTCTGAGTCGTCTCAGACTCTCAGCCTCTCTCTCTCTCGCTCCCTCTTTTTTCATCTGCGTCTTGCTTTTCATTTCAAATCACTTGAAAAAAATTAAATCTACACTTGAAAATATCAAATCTATACTTCAAAAAATAATCCGAATTAAGTAACTCAATCCAATCCGAATTAAACCTGAGTCTGCCCGAATTAAATCCGAGCCTGCCCGAATTAAACTCGGGCAGTACTCGAATTGAATATCTCGGGTTGTGATAGGGTTAGGGTTAAGGTTAGAATTAGAGTTGAAGATTATATACTTAGAGTTGGGTTATGGTTGACTTCTCAACCCACTCAACCCATCCAAGTTGCACCCTAAATAAAATATGAAAAATTCCCTTATGCTAGGCTGAAAAAATTATGTGGGTATAACAAAAAGGCCCAACAGTGTTACTTGGTGGAAGAATGTGACGAAGAAGAACATTGGAGCAACCCAATACTATCAGAAACCCAAGACACAATAGAGACTAACTAAACCAAAATTTCATTGATGAAGAAATAGGGACGAGGGAGGAAAAAGCTTAACATGATGGGTAAAGGAGAAATAGCTTATAACGAGAACTTTGTCCGAGGAAGAGCACTGACAGAGTTGAGCCTTCCAACAACATTTGTCAGATTATTGAGTTTGAAAATAAATTAGGAGGTGCCACAAATACTTAGTATTCTCTCTGTAAAATTTCAATGCCTGGATACTAGATTAACATATCGAGGAAAAAAAATAAGGAAAATGAGATGAATATTTTGAACAATAGGAAGGAGTAAAAAAAAAATAACAGTAAGTGTAAGGCACCAGCAGCGCCGGCCCAACAGTGAAGTGAAGGTAAAAAAAGTGTGAAATTTAGGTCCCATGAGGAAGACACAATTTTAAGTACCATAAATAACTAATGTGAAAAACTTAAATCCATAAAAACTTTAAACCCTATAAAAAAGCCTTACGAAAACAAAAGTCTAATAAAAAAAAGTTTTAAGTTCAATCACTTGGGCCTATAATTCAACCCAAACATTAAAAATCCAGCAAATCTAAAGTTAAAAAAAAAAAAATACCTAACAGTAAAGCAAAATGATCAACTCAAGGCACACTCATTCTTAACAANGAGGCGTCTGTGGTTGAACTCGGTGTTTACAAAGGTGATATGAAAGCCTTTGTGATGAAGGAGTTTTGCTAGCTTCAGCATGGGGTTTATGTGGCCTTTAGCTGGGTATGGTATGCAGACGGCATGAGGCTTCTCTGTCAAAGTAATGGAACCCATTCTCTCTGTCTCTGTCTCTCTCTCTCTGTCTCTGTCTCTCTCGGCAAGAAGTAGGTACAGTTTTATAGCCCAGGAAAGAGGTTTAAATGAATTGTTTACATCCAAATCAGAAGGTCAGATACGGCTCTAATTTTAAAGTCATATAATCGGAGGGTCCAAATAACCACGCAACCACAACCATGTACAATAAATTAGCAGGATGGACTAATAACACGTAGACTAATGTTATATGCACTTAATTTATTTATTTATTTTCTTAAATTAAAGATATAGTTTTATTATTAAAGAGTTATAAAGAAATTAGATTAGTCTGTTGGGTTTGGGAAACTTGAATTTTTAAGCAGTTTCCCAGCTTGTTTATTTAAGGACCATTACATTATGTCTCATTTTGGTTAAAATAATATAATTTGTTAACTTAATTTGATAATTTAATACTTTCATTGTAGAAATTGGATTGAAAGTGAATTTAATGGAATGTTCACACTTATACTGTTAATCTAATGATCATAGTACATTAGATTCTCTAATTAAATCCCCAAATTAAGTACCAAAAACATTAGTCGTTTGGTCGTGACCCAACCTTTTATTCCCCATTTGTTTCGTGTTAAATCTAATCTTTGTTGAAGCTTCTTTTATTTATGTATTTTTTGTCTCTTAAAAGTTCTTTCTCGCATTACAATAAATGTTGGAAATTCTTAAGGCGATGGTAAGACTTGAGTATACTATTTCGATGTTCTAAGTTTGACTATTGTAATAAAATTTTAATTTAATCAAGGGTGAATTTCACTTTTCATTTTAAAATGTTAAAAATTTTAAATTTTTTATTTGTACCTTTAAACATTAATTTTTTATTTGCATCGTATCTTGAATGCAGTTAAAGTATTATAATGTGACTATTTTGTTAATTTTCGTTATTCATTCGGTCAACGTCAATTGTATGGTTTTTAACAGAATAAGCAACATAAACTAATAGAAAAGTCACATTGTAACACTTTTAGTACATTCAAGATAAAATATGAAAAATTTAATCTTTAAGAATAAAAAATAAAAAATCTTGAATCTTTTAGTATGCCAATTGCGATTTGCCCTTTAATCAATACGAGTGTTATGAAATTCGCTTTGATTTGATCCCACGTAATTAACAGAAAACAAAAAATGGGAACAACTAGTCTTTATCATTATGCGTGAAGAGCTAAACCACATAATCCAGTTTTTTTATTTTTCTTTTTTTTTTGGGGAGGGGAGGGGAGGGGAGGACTTGAACTCTTGATTTCAATAAGATAAAATCTTGATAAGGTAAAAAATACTATTGAACAAATGACCCGTTGATAACCTTGTATGAATCTAACACAATACAAATTTACTTATAAACCTAAGTTCAACCATGATTACAAATTGGATGCCTGACCCAAAAAAAAAAAAACAAATTGGATGGGGCTTGTTCACCAGCACAAACCTCCTAAGGGTTGAATTTTCCATTTTTCCCTTCAATGGGATCTTCTGGTAGGGCTTGAGACTAATAATGAAGGAATATATCTTTACCCTACGAATATGTATACGGTACTTAAGTACCTTTCTAGCTAATTTTGAACAATTGATTGTTTTGCTTGTAAGTTTCGGATTTGTTAATGAAGTAAGTTTTTAGTTTCTTGAAGCCAACTTTAAAAGGAAGAAGTTGCTTTGCAAAATATTTTAAAAATAAAAAAGAAAAAGAAAAGGTATAATTTTAAAAAGATTTGGAAAGTGGGGGACCTTCTATAGGATTACTTTAACATAGTGGGATCATATCAGACCATGTTTGTAAACTAGTATAACCTTAGTCATCGTGGTTGTTTTATTGTTGGGTTATCATGGTAAGTTTGCTGAATGGCGAGGATTAATTTTTTTTTGGTTTAATTGTCAGGGGTGTTCAAATCAATTTACGTGTATCTCGATTAATCCTTTCCCTAATCCAGTCAAAGGTAGATCATTCATACTGAAACTAGAGTTTTTATGAGGGATAAATGTCTCATGATCTAACCTTAAAAGATTGTCAACATTCAAATTTAAAACGTCTGAATTTATAACAGAATCGAAAAGTGTTCTCGGATGCATGTAATTTGGTGACCTAATTACCTCTTGTTATTAGACTAATAATATGTCTCAATATTAGACAGAACGATTAAGCTAATAAACAAAATATTTTTAACTAATTAGGGCAAAATAGTGTTATTGGTTGAGAATTAATTATGATATAAAAGGAGTATTTTTTTTTTGTTTATTCCTTTTTTGATTTTTTTTTTTCTCTAAAGACAAAATTTCGGTTCACAAAGTGTAATTAACAAGCTTTTTGTACAACCCCCATGCAACTTTTTAGTTCATGGCCATGCCTGAACTGGATAGAGTCCTAGACCCATCGGGCATTATTGCATGTCAAGAAAGAAGCATGGCGCCGGAATACGACAACACTGGCCGGAACTTCTTAACGTGGCCAGGGAGCAGCCATTGAATTCTGCTGCCTCAAATCATTGTAGAACTTCACTATAAACTCCTCAGCAGCCTCGTCAACGTAGTTATCTTCATCCAAGTCCCGCAACGGAAACGGCGAGTCCGTTATCCTCAGCTGCCTCACCATCGGACTCCGCCCAAACCCAGGAAGCGCAGGAGACGCCGCTTCGCTGTGTTGCAGCATCTCTAACGCCTTCACAACCGCATTAACTGTCACCATGTCGTCGTCCGTCGGCGGAGCGTGGGCGCAAGAGAAGAGGTGAGAGTGGTGGTTTTTGCGTTTTGTGAGGTGGAAGGGGAACTGGAAGTAAGCTGGGCTGTTACTGCAGCTGAACTCGTACTCGCCGGGGACTGAGAATGATATCCGTCCGTCGTATGACCGGCGGTGGGAGAAGGAGGAGGAACGGTGGTGGGTATGGTGGAACATGAGGTTTTGTATCGCCTTTCCGGCAATTTTGCTACGCTTCATCATCATGTTGAGATCAAGCATTAGTTTTCTCTTTGATATGCCTTTCCTCAGCATGAAGAAAGCAACTCGTACCATGCTCCAAAACTTCTTTGCCATAACTGGTAGATTTGGTTCCATTTCTATGAATTTTTTGGACCACTTTTGACTTGTGGGTATTGATTGATTTTCTGTTTGGTGGAGAGAGAGAGAGGAATTTTGGTTTTAGGAGGAAGAGAAGAAAGAAATATTTGATATGAGCAGAAGGAAAGGAGGGAGGTGGGCGGTATATAAAGGCCTCCGTAGAAGAGAGGGCACACACAAGGTTGTACTTGAAGTTGAAGGTTAAACTTGAACTAGAATCACCTATGGGTGCATGGATGTTTAGGGTTACTTGTTCTATATTTTATTGCTTGCTCAATTATTAATGGAGATGAGCTTTATGTCGGTTTCTTTAATTTGGTTCAAATAAATCAACGCCTTTATCTTTTAATAATTTATGCAATAAACCCTAAAAGGTTAGTCTAATAGTACTTTAATCACTTGATAAATATCTTATGGTGGATAGGTTAGAGGTTGAAATATCTCATAAAACGTAATTCTTTGAGACCGTCGTCCATAGATTAACCCCTTTGCGTGGAGCGACGACTTTGCACAAAGTCTAATATTGATCCAGAATGTAAAAGGAGAATATCTACCAGAATAGTTGGGATATCAACAAAAAAAAATTTGTACACAAGAATCAAAATTTTGTTACAATATATAGTTTCAATTAGCTCATAAAAACGAAGATTAAATTTGAAAATTTATTTTCCAAATATATTGGATTATTAATCGAAACAACTTAAAACATAAAAATTTTAATTATTTAATCACTTATTCATTTAGATTTCTCTGAAAGCCAAAATATTTCATTCGTTTCAATGGGACTGAAACAAAATTTTATGATCAATTTAAGTAATCTTGATCTTGTACGGGTATCACTGTATTAGGAAATCTATCTATCTACTAAACCTGTGTGCACATATTTTTACTTTTGAGTAGTTTTCATATTGGCAAGCAATCCCCCCCCCCCCCCC